GAGTTGAGGTAGAGGAGAAGAAAGTCAAAGGGAAGGGAAAAGGGAAGCTGAAGGAAGAGGCTGATCCGGAGCGCGAGGAAATCCTGCAGAAGATGACCTGGGCAGAGGGACTGTTGAAGCAAGTCTACGTCCGCCACCCGCATTTTGGACACATTGTTGATGCAGTGCTCGAGGTTGGACTCGATGGTTTGGCGGACAAGGTTCAGCTCGCAGTTGGTGAGTATGCCAATTTAGAGAGAACTGCACCAGTGAATTTGGTCTAATCAATGGTGGCGCAGGCACACCACTCCACCCTACACTTGGCTCACCTACGCGATCTTTAGACGAAATATATGAGCGACTAGGAGATCTAGCGTTTTCGGCAGAGTTCAAATATGACGGTCAACGCGTGCAGATACATGCCCAACGGACTCAAAAGGGGGGAGTTGATGTTAAGCTGTTTAGTCGACATCTCGAAGATATGACTTCAAAGGTGAGCTTTTTTGCCGATACACCAGTTTGTCCCCTTAACGTTTAGGAAAATAGTACCCGGATATCGTGCACATGGCAGAAACGTTAATCGCTCAGTCGGACTCTTTGAATTCGTTCATCCTTGACGCAGAAGTGGTCGCTGTCGATCCGCACACAGGTTCTCTTCGAACATTTCAGGAGCTGTCTAATAGGCCGAGGAAGGATGTGAGTCTGAACGATGTAAAGGTCGTTGTATGCGTATATGTTTTCGACTTGATGTATTCGAATGGCGAGGTCCGTACATTCCCCACCTTGTACAGTGGGTGCCATATTGATTATCCGAACAGCCTCTACTAGGTAAATCATTCCGGGAACGACGTCAACTATTGCGTGATACATTTCCGCCATTCGTTCCTGATGATCCGTTCTGTTCGAGGCTCGCCCACGTTCAAAGCGTGGAGAGCGAGTCTGGGCGCGAGGCCGTTGAAGAATTTTGGGAGAAGGCTGTGGAGAGCCAAAGTGAGGGGCTTATGATTAAGGTGAGTTGATCCATAAGTTGATGTTATAGAGAATAGAAAGGTGTTCTGCAGTTACTTGATAGCGGGGAAGTGCTTGAGGTCGATGAGGAGAACCCAAAGGCGAAAGAGAAAGGAAAAGGGAAAGGAAGAAGAAAGCCGCTTCCAGCGACGTACGAACCAGGTAAGTAGAATCGCTCAAGTAGCTGAATAGACTACCTAATACGGCCCGGCCAATCCGAAGACAAACGTACATCAGCGTGGTTGAAACTCAAGAAAGACTACGTCGACGGTCTAGGCGACTCCCTGGACCTTGTGCCAATCGGAGGATGGCACGGCATCGGGCGCAAGGCTGGATGGTGGTCTCCAGTCCTCCTAGGACTTTGGGATCCGCGCGTTGATAAGTTTGTTGGGGTGTGTAAATGCATGAGTGGGTTCTCTGATGCGTTCTACAAGGTAAATAAAGCTTTGTGCATAAGTTATGAAAAACTAACTTGCGCAGAGCCTGAACGAGCGGTACTCGGAAGAACTGGGAACATGCTCAAAAGTGCCATTTACGGACATAGATACAAACGGCGAGTTGATGCGCGTTTGATCGAGGCGTGTCATTAATTTAGAGCATGCGTAGGACTCGTGCCCAAGGCGTGGTTCAAGCCGAGTGAGGTATGGGAGATCAAAGGCGCAGAGTACGTGTTTATTCCGCACTCGCGTAAGCACGCATATTTATTACAAAATTATGTAGTATTACGCTTTCGCCAATATCACAAGCCGCGAAAGGGCTCGTCACCGGAGATCGAGGGTTGAGCCTGCGCTTTCCTCGATTTATCCGGGTGCGCGAAGATAAAGCGTTGACAGACGCAAGCGGGCCAGATTTTTTAGCTGGGCTCTGGCGCAAGCAGGAAGGCAAAGGCGGTGGCGTGGACGAGGGAGAGCTAGTAGATGCATCAGAGCCGGATAGCGAAGAGAGCGAGTCTGAATGAAATAAATGCGGGTTGGTCGGATCGTCAAAGCGCCAATGCAAACAGGATAAAACTGGACCCGCCACTAGTCAGGGTGCATTGTACTTAGTACCTAGCCGGCGATGTCTCGTATCCCTGTTTCAACGACACACTTGCCTTCTCCTAATCGCTCTCACCCAGACACGCCTACGTCGCCGCACCACCACGTGTCGATGGCGAGTAATCTCTCTGGGGGTAATGTCTCTGAGACCCGCCGCAAGCAGAACAAGCGCGATGAGGTATGCTATAGTCGGTACTGCAAACGCTGTTGCTCATCTTGTTGCAGGCGATTAGAAAGAAGATAGAGGGCGAGCTATCGCGTAAACGAGGAATTCCTCCTGGTGTGAGCAAGTCGCGCAAGGCTGGCAAGACGCACGCTGCCAAAGGCACTGTTGCCGCGCTCAAGCCCAGCCCCGCGCTGACTGTTCCCGAGTCGATTACTGTATCGGATGCTAGCCAGCTCTGTGCTGCCAAGCGCACCGACTGTGTCTTGGTTGTTGACGAAGAAGAGGGGCTGAGCGGCATTTTTACCGCCAAAGATCTCGCCTTTCGTGTGTGTATCTTTCACATTCACCTCCCAATTTTGTGCTGATGAGCGTGGATTCGGGCAGGTTACTGCCGAAGGACTTGATCCTCGTGTTACGCCCGTGAGCGCAATTATGACGAGGTCACCGATGGTGACGCGCGATACGACTAGCGCGACCGAGGCATTGCAGCTCATGGTGCAGCGCGGGTTCCGGCATTTGGTAAGTAGCTCCTCCCTTTCCGTTTTGTGTATAGTATTTACATTTGGATGCAGCCCGTTTGCAACGAAGAAGGCAATGTCGTTGGTCTGCTCGATATTACTAAAGTTTTTCATGAAGCGCTCGACAAGGTGGAACGCGGCTCTTCGGCTTCGGCGAAACTCCATGCAGCCCTCGAAGGCGTCCAGTCCGAGCTCGGCAATGGGATGAACGCCAACCCGCAAGCAATGGCGATGATGTCTTATGTCGCCTCGCTGCGCGAAAAGACTGCTCTTCCTGACCTTACGACGGTTATGGACGCCCGCACACAGCCCGCGATGGTTGGCCCACGCTCGACTGTGCGCGAAGCTGCCAAGCTCATGAAAGAGAACCGGACAACTTCTGTGTGCGTCATGGAGCCTGGCCAGCAAGGAGGTCATGCCAAGATTGTTGGTATTTTCACGAGCAAGGATGTTGTCTTGCGTGTTATCGCTGCTGGGCTCGATCCAGGACGCTGCAGTGTTGTGAGGGTTATGACTCCTCATCCGGATGTCGCCGAGCCAACTATGACTGTGCACGATGCGCTTAAGAAGATGTACAGTGAGTATTTTGGTGTTGGCCCTAAAGGATGATTCTGATTTTCCCTCAGACGGGCGCTACCTCAACCTGCCAGTGGTCGACCCCGAGGGTAGACTTGTAGCCATTGTCGACGTGCTCAAGCTCACATACGCTACACTCGAGCAGGTAAATCTCAGATTTATCTATTAGTCTTACTAGATGCTCACTACAAACCTAGATTAACTCTCTAAGTGGTGCAGATACTAGCAATGAAGCCGAAGCCGGTCCGATGTGGGGTCGTTTCTTCGAATCTTTCGCCCATGCAGACGACAACGAGTCTGCCATCTCTGGCTCAAACATGCCTACCGATGCCAACTCGTCCCATTTCCCTGACCCGAACCGCCTAGGAGTTGGTCGTTCTCCCCATTCGGAGTTGCATCCAAACGACTCGGCCTCTGTCGTCGACGAACATCACCACCATCACGGGTCAGTTCTCGATGGAGCTCCCGGTCCTGAACCTGTCGAAGACGGAACGTACGTTTTCAAGTGCCGTACCCCGAGCGGACGTACGCATCGGTTCCAAGCGCGTCATGATAACGTCGAAAATCTGCGAGACATCATTGCTGGCAAGCTTACGACCGATCCGTTCTTCGAGGTGCCCGACGACGCACCGCCAGAGTTTCCTCGCCCCGATCCACTCGATTTTACGCTCTCGTACACGGATGCTGATGGGGACACGGTAGAGATCAGCGCAGACTCGGATGTGACCGACGCAGTGCGGATTGCGCGACAAGCCAAGGAAGATCGAGTTATTATATATATTCACGGCGGAAAGGCCTGGGATCTTGCTGGCCAAAAGGACGCCGAGAAGAAAGCCGAAGAGTCGGCTCGCGCAGCTCAAGAGGAGACGCGGTTGGTGGAAAAGACTGAATCCAAGGTAGCAGAAGCCATGTCGACTCCGGCGCACCCACATGCACATATTCCTCAAGATGATAAGCTGTTTGGAGTTGTGCCGAGGGATATGGTCCTGCCTGCGAGCGTCGGATTCTTGGGTGTGGTGATTATTGCGGTGTTTGCGTTGTCCAGGTCGTCGAGTAAATACTAAGCGTTAGTAGGTTGTCTTTTCCGCTTTATTTGTATATGCAAATGTCTTTCCATCGTTCGTTTATAACCACTCTCCCAATGTAAATCCCACCAATATAGATTGTGTATAGTGTAGAGGCGATCTGACAATCTGGTAACACCCTCGTTATCAGAAGATAAGGCCGCCTGGCGAAATGGTATCGCGTCTGACTACGATTGCGTACTAATCAGGAGATTGCAGGTTCGAGCCCTGCGGTGGTCATTTTTGCTCGTCTTTTGCTCAAGAGCAAAGAAAAACAATTCATCTGGCGCAAAACAACTACCCATTCCGGGCTGCCCCTACGATCGACGCAAGGTCCCTTTCCCAAAGGGATTTGATAGGAGCACCGAGCACATTAATTAGTACCACGTGACTTTCGCGTCATCAGCCTGCCAACGACCACTACACGGCTAAGATGGCCGATGCGGAGATTGATGCACTGGTGAGCTGTTTCACGCAGGCTCATGAACCTGAACTGGAACTAAGTGAAGAAAGGCACATGCAGTATTTGATGCTATGTTAGAGGACGTTATTCTCGGCATTGCATTAGACGAGCATAAATCTGGGCTGAGGAACCGGTCGGTATGTGGAGTTTGCCATACTAGGTGAGTTTAAATGTTCTTCATACGGTAGGTGTAATGAGTACTGAAATATGGGTATGACTTGTAGGTGTAGACTCGAAGGTATGCTTCGCGGCGCTACAGCCCGACCTTGATTAATTCAGCAGCTGGTACAACTTGCAGAGCATATAAATCAAGGCACGAGCGGTGGGTTGACTGGTACACCCGTAGCATCGGCTAGTGGCGCCAACGGACCTACAAACGGGAATGGCATCAAACCAGAGTTACCGGTTTTGCTGGATTGTATAAAGTGTCAGCGCCAGGTAAGTATTTCACCCCCCATGCTGTTAATTACACTCGTTTAACAAGTGGGCCTATCACTCAGGTTACTCCGAATCGGTATGCGAATCATTTGGCAACCTGTCTCGGACTCGGGAATACACGCCGGACTGGTCCAAGAAACGCAGCTGGCAAAGCACGGTGCGGCGCCTTTTTTGTGTGTGTTTGGAATACACTCACGAGCGTTGGGCGGTTTCAGAACGGTAGCAGAATCGGGGGCAGCCACGCCAGTTCAACGGTCCGGGAGTGCGAACGGCGCGGAGGATCCAGGGGCCAGTACCCCGAATGCGAAACCAAAGGCGTCGAAAAAGAAGAAAAGTGGGCTTTATTTTGTGTATTTCCCGTTTTCGTCGCTAACGTCTAGGGGGCTAATGTGCAGAGGCTGACACGCCGGAAACCACGAACGGGAATAATAAGCGCGAGAGTGCTGCACCCGCGAAACCTAGCAAAGCGAAGAAGCAGAAAGTCGGGAAAGGTACATTACACAATGTTCGGCTTGAAATAGGTTAATCATTGACCTGTCCCGATTCTGTAGCTGCGAATGGCAAACCCCTTGCATTTCAGCCGGCCGATTTGGAAGAGTCCTCCACAGTAAGTTACGACTACATCCTTGCTTTCTGTTCCCAGTAGTCTCACATCTGCCCACACGCAGCCCTCTATTCCTTCACCCTCACCATCCAAGACATCAACTATTACCCGCGTACCGTCCAAACTACAAAACTCTCAGACACCAATTTCACCTGCTGGTTCCAACACCACTACACCAACACATACGCCGCAACTACCACCGGCCCCACCGCCTCCGAGAATAGTCCGAGGTACCGGCCCACCACGCCCCTTGCTCGGACGCGGTCCCTCTATACCTCGAACTACCGGGGTCGTGATCGGTGCGTCTAGTCTCCTCGGTCTTGTTCCGCGTCTTTACACCTTGGACTGTTTAGATAAAGCTCCACCACCGCCACCAACTCGTCAATCTAGTACCTCTCATTCACGTACAGAGGCAGATGAGAATTTGGATGACCTTGTGGATACCGCTTCGGACTCCTCCGATGATACCTAACTCAGTCCGGCACCCGAGCACTTGTTGCTTGCGGCCACCGTTACCCATCCTGTTTGTGTTGCAGTACGCGTCTGTTATAACTTAGCTATGTGTTTTGTTGGCTTTGTACTAGTATTCTAGGGCTCGTTCTTATGTATTATCGTGGCGCATCTGATCACAGTTCAACACAAACGAACATATCTATTTCCAGGAGAAAGCTAAACCAAGCATATACCCAACAAGCAACACAGTCGCAAACCCAGATAACTATCGGTGCTGATCCAAAAGAATTTTGCCTCGTCCATGTCCTACGCTTCTTATGCCACATTCCAGTCGTAGCGCCATTAGCCAATGCTTCGGGTCGGGAACAGACACCACAATCCCGCCATGATAGACAGTATCCCTAACATGATGGGTTGAAGAACAGCAACGCCCTTGGCATTGGCGATCGCGCCCGTCACGAACGGGTACAGAGCTGAGCCTATGCTAGCAAAGCTTGACATCGTTGCAAGTGCCGTCATATGTATCTCGGTCGGTAAGAGCTGTGTAGTGGGTAACGTGAGTTTACTGACAGAGAATACCAACAAGGAAAGCGTACTTTAGTAGCCAAAGAAAGGCTTGTTGGGAATATTGCTGGATGTCTTAGTGAGTGGAAAGAAAAGACTAAGGAAACAAAGTCGACAACTTACGCCCAAGGACAAATCCGATAACTGCAGTGCAAAAGGCGTTACCAACAAACGATGGCACCTTCCACACGAGTACAGTCATCAAAAGTGCAACACCTAAAAGCCGACTTTGGTCAGTCAAAGCGTGGTCCCAGAGAAAATCACTCATGCGTACCAATGTAAACGTGGACCAGGTGCTTCTCGCGCTTGATACCAATGCTAATGGTCCATTCAATTCCTACGCTATGGTTTTTAAGAGAATCAAGACATACTAAGGTGAAGCCTGCCCCAGGCATAGCCGACCAACGGCGAGTCCGCCCCAGAAACCTACCGACGGGTTAGATTCAGGATGTATGCACACATTGTGCTCATAACACACCGCTCGCAACATAGCCAACGGTATCTGGATTAGCGTTTCGCTCTGTGAGCAAGAAGGTAACGACTTGAAAGTCTACATCAGCAAAGTTGGAGTGTAATATATTTAGGACACTCACTCCAGCCTCCATTAGTTGTCTCGCTCTACAGATTAGTGGGCAGCTTTAGCGAAGACGGAGGAGTTGAACGAGATTTACTTACACCCGTGTAGGTGCATAGGAAAAGAGCAAAGATCCACACGAACGGTTCGTTCAATGTCATCCGCATGGCTATAATAAAAGCATTAGTCAAGGAGTCATATCCATTTACAGGCGTTGAACTTGCCACTCCTTCCTCTTGTAGGCCTCGCCCTGAACCGCCTCGAGTCCAACTGCGGCTCAGCTTCATGCGGTCGTCCCTCAACACTCTCGCCTACCACACGGTTCTGAAGCTCGAATCCATCGTGCTCCTGGCGTGTTTTGGCCTTTTCTGCGACGAACTCCTCCTTCGTAGTATGGAATGTATATAGCGTTCCAACAGTGTTTGCCAAGCCTAAGCAGACAGATATAAGAAAAAACCGCGGCCAAGGCCATCCTCTAGCCAGGAGTGTTTGTCCAACCAGCGGAGACGCGAAAGCCCCGATTCCTACATTAAGATGGACAAATATAATCTTGCTCAGACAGGCTAAAGACATATACGAACCGTAACATCCGTGAAGCCATCCTATAACAGCAGGACCCAGTTAGCGCTCAATTTCGTAGGACTTGGGACGAACTTTACACACCAAGATATCGCCCAGCAGATTTCTGCGCAGCAACATATGCATTGGACTGACCTGGAGTACTTCAACATCAACGACGATCTATGCTCTCACATACAGTATACTTGCCACTCAAAAGCGAAATACCAACTCCAGAAAACATAAACCCAACGATCATCGCGGGGAATGACCCCTTTGCTGCTGCGATGGTGAAATATACGCATTGACACAGAGCGCCAATAACGAGAACGCCGCAGCGACCTTGAGATATTGATATCCCTGTTTGCATGTTGGATATATGCGAGAGAAAAACCGGAAAGAATCGACGACGGCGCGCGGAAACCGAGAATCGGCCAAGGGTATTGAATAGTGGCTCGATGACAATGGTCCCAACAGCAAATCTATAAGAGATACTTAGCACCGACTAGTAGGGGAAAACACACAAGACGTACCCAAAAGTAGACGCGATGAACAGAAGAGATACCACAAGATAGCTAACATGATATGTTTCTTCAAAGCGGGGAAGTATTGTTCCAGTGACTATATGCAATAATTAATCCTAACCCAGTCTATCGTACGCAAGTATAGGATCCAACTTACTCCCATCGGACCATCCAGCGCAAAAGAAACCAAAAAACGAGACGGCAAGCCTGCGCTTAAGCCGAACCGCCTCAGCGGTGTCTTCCAAGATAGGGGCGGCAAAAGAGCCCTCAAAATATGCCTCACGAGCAGTTACGGCGGGAGTGTTGGGGCCAGAGTACCCGGGCGTAAGCGTGCCGGGTGCATACCCAGAAATGTTTGCACTCTGCTTATCGATATAGAGGGTAGGGAGCTGAGATAAGGTAGGGATTTCTGGCGAAGGACTCGGAGTAATCTTCTTGTCTTGATTTAGCGGGTCGACGACTTCGATGTCGAGCACCGCATTTTCGGGTACTGGAGAGGAGACGGAGGTACTTTCTAGAACATTTCGATTAGGGGGTGGCGCGTGTGCACTGGCACGGCGTTCTCGTAAACCAGTAGGGGCAATAGAGAGTATAGCGTTGGTGCTCGGACGAGGTTCTGGAGTATGCGTGGGCATGATGGTGCGGGAAGTGGGGGGAGGGGGGCTACTGTGAGAATGAGAGAGGGCAGGTTGAAATACCTACGGCTATTTGTCTCTACCATCGCCGTGTATCATCATGTGGTTGGCATCATTTAGACATAAAATATACTCGGCATGGGCTTCTGATGCATCTCAGATACTGTGCAACGTGTAAGGATTGGATGCTCGGCCAACTGATAGCCTGCACAACACCGCTCTCAGTCTGGGCCCGGACTTTTAAGCCTCAGGAATGCCTAGTTTCACCGGTCCGAGCTCGTCCGTAAGTGAGGTCAAGTAGTAGTCATCGGCAAGTCGCAGGTTAAGGTTTGCAGCCATAGTTCGATAGTTGTTCGATAACCATTGAGTTGAATCCCTTGTGGTGGTAGCCTCGGTAAGGGCGTTAGGTGAGGTTGCCAGTAGTCTT